TACTTCATATTATGCATGCACGTAGTCTAGGAAGTACTTAGTTCAGCAGTATATGAATCTTGGACTACTTATGGAAAATACGTTTTTTATTCCACATCAAAGTTGGGTGAAATATCCTTGATCTTATCCTCTGTTAAGGATTTTGACAAAGGATTACTGGAAAACTACACAGTAAAAATACTTCATATTATGCATGCACGTAGTCTAGGAAGTACTTAGTTCAGCGGTATATGAATCATGGACTACTTATGGAAAATAAGTTTTTTATTCTACGTCAAAGTTGGGCAAAATATCCTTCAACTTGTCCTCTGCAGTCTGACCCACAGTCACTACCAGCAGCTCTTCAGAGCCGTTTCATTACGATTACCGTAAGTGTTAGTAGATTCGCGCATTAGAAAAAAACGTGCCGCTGATTTGACCAAGCAAAAGAGAACCACGGCTGGCTTGACCGCAGTGCATAACATGACAAACAGCGGAATTATAGCTTTCCGACAAGACCAACCACTTGTCGGTAGTCCAATGTTTTCACAGCGGAAAAAAAAGATAAAGTTACACTTAAATGATGTATAACAGAGCTTTCATACAGCTCTGCAAACACAATACTCTTGGATGGATTACTTGTGAATGCAGGCTCGCACAGAAATGCCACGCATATCACATGAAAGCGCAGGAGCAGAGCTTTCTAGTGATACCACACATCATTGTGCTGTCATCCCATCATGCTATAAATCCAGATAATTGTCTACAAATAAAAACCTGACGAATTTCTTTACAATCCATTATACAGATCTTGTTATCAGTCACTTCATATAGTGAGGAATATCGTATCTTACCACGTCTTAGGCTTGCGTGTGTTTCTCCCTGTCTATCCACATTTGTAGTCCAGCTTTCAAGATGCAAATATCTCCATATTGTCCAGTTGACACTTCATCAAACTTTGTATGACAAGACCAGCCACTTCACCTTTGTGCACCCAGACAACACCCAGTAGCCTAATTATGCATGCATGACAGGGCCGTAGTCACCATATACATTGAGGGGGACATGCTCCCCCGCCAATGCCCAAAATGTCCCCCCAATATATAACTGAAACTGAAAAACAAATATTATCTTGGAGGACATCATTGCACTTGGTTGACTATTTTTCTACTATCTTAGATGTAAATATTGCATGTTTCTTTCAGATAAAACACATTTTTGACTTAAATGAGACGTAAATGAGTCAATGGAATTTCTTGCAATAATGAAAAAATACTGGCAATCATGTCCGCCTGGCACAAACCACATGTTTTGGACAACTGTGAAGTGACAGAATGTCCCAGCATCATGGTTCTTATATTGCCAGATTCCAGAGTCTCCCCTCTTCATATATGGCAGAATATGTCTTCTTCCAGCTTGCTATGGTGAGATACTTGTAAAAATGTAAGAATTTAGTCACACGGATTTGTTTTTTTTTCATTGATAAAATTAATTAATTAATTAATTAATTATATTAATTCATTAAAAATTAATATAAAATACAGGCACATAGAAGGACATGAAATGATGGCAAATCTGGATAGCCCACAATGTCCTGAAAAAAACAAGATATAGCATGTGTATGTAGCCTTTATAATGACAGTGGTATGAGCTTAAAAGTAAAGGCAGTAAAAATACCCCAAAAACACCTAGGGCCCATAGGGTTAAAAGCAAACTTAAATAAAGAAAACTCACATTTTGATGTTTTTTATGATTTTCCTTTGATATATACGGTCTTGATCTTGTCTTGGTCTCGACCTCTAAATGTCTTGGTCTTGTCTCGGTCTCGGAACTCTCTGGTCTCGGTAATGTCTCGGTCTCGGTTGGTGCGGTCTTGACTACAACACTAAATACTTGTCCTCAGAAGCCCTCTGAGCTGTATTTGGATGTTGGCTCTGCTCTGTCCTAACACCTTACCCAATAACCCCTGCAGACCACCCAACCATGGGGGTGGATCATGGCCAATTGGCAATACCAGCCTGAGAGATGCTCAGTAGCATCTGGTGCTGCCACCACCATGAACACCTGAACAGTCAACACTAATACACAATCACAGCGAGGAATATACTATGCCATTTTTCATAGTTTTTAGAATGACACTGGTAAACATGGTCAAGTATATGTGTTTTTTCATAAAAGAGAAATAAATGGGATAACACAAGTTTAGGAAATAAGGCCCTCAAAGACAGAAATACACACACAAACACACACACACACACACACACACACACACACTGGCACATAAGGCACTAGATCAGGGCCTTGTATCAATCATGCCTCTATCCTCTGTGTTGGTAACCCCCTCCCCGGTGTCCTGTTGTCCTTCAGAGTGCACAGTGTCGTCTCGTCCCCTCTACCCTTCAGAAGTGTACTAGCCCTTAAAGTGCAGAGGAAAGTTCTCTTATGTTTAGTGCAAATCAGCTGAAAGCTCCATTCCTCTCCACTATTTCACAAGACTTCAGTAGACATTTAAATGCAAATGAAAAGCAGGCAATTTATTATCCCATATACAGGTTGATCACTTCCTTCACACAATAATGTTTTATTCAGAGCTCACAACCAACCTTGTGAGCTGTGTTAGCGTTTTATGGCTAATCAGGCCTTATAGAGGCATACATGTCTATCATTATGGCTGTGTGTATATCAGGTGAGAGGGTTACTGCTAGCGACCGTATACTGCTGCTGTCCTCACTGTTTCATAAACCTCTGGGTCATATCCTTTTATGTATGTTCATAATGCCTGCCTGCTGCGTGTGTGTGAGTGTGTGTGTGTGTGTGTGTGTGTGTGTGTGTGTGTGTGCATGTGTGTGCACTTTCAGGAAAGGCACAGTGGTAAATGCAACAGTGTTGGTGTTTATTGCTGGCTCACTCATGGGCTTCAGCAGGATTTGTGGTTCACCTGAGATGGTCATCATTGGCCGCTTCATCACAGGAATCCACTCAGGTACACACACACACACACACACACACTTATATACACACTTCTACATCCATTGCGCACTGAGTTGCACTCATTTAATGCTGTTTGTGTGGGGCATGCACATTATGAGGCCAAATGTATGCGGACATCCTTTATCCAGTTCAGGGAAGGCTGTTTTTAGTTTCAACATGGTGATGTCCATGTGCAAGAAGCCAGTTCCATTAAAAAAATAAATAATAAATAATAATAATCACACACACACACACACACACACACACAGAGCCAACACACCTTGTCCCCTTATCCCCTGACAAAACTTAATGTACTGGCTTGTATTCACTTTCGTATTTAGTGTTGTTGTTTTGTTAGTGTTTTGTACTGTCTTGTGGAAAAAAGGCAATTAATGGCAAATAAATTGTCAATTAATCTGTTGATCAACTAATAAATTAACTGAGTAATCCTCTCAGCACTAAAACATAATGTGTTGAACTGAACAGTCGCTCTGACTTTTTACAAGGTACACAGAGCAACTTTAATTTCAAAACTTAAATGACATTTTGAAATTGTAAAAATACTCTTACCCAGACTTCCCTTCCCAGGTTCCATGTCAGATTTGTAACCTTTTTTTATCCCACTTACGTTTCCAGGACAGCATACAACAATCCCATTTTGTTATTGTTGTTTGGTAACATTCAGGATGACATGCTTTATTTCAGTGTCCATATACTTTTGTCTATGTAGTGTCTGTCTCGCATATGGTTTTTTACATAACAGTTATACTATCGTGTTGAATTATACCATGAAGTCTTTATAAAACATTTATTTTAAATCAGTGCATTGTTACAAAGATATTCTTCTTTGGGTTTTTTTTGTTTTGTTTTTTTACTGCAGGCATCTCTCTAAGTGTGGTGCCAATGTACCTGGGCGAGATAGCACCTAAGAATCTGCGAGGCTTCCTGGGTCTTGTCCCAAGTATCTTTATTGGCACTGGAGTCTTCGCTGCCCAAATCCTCGGCCTACATGAGCTTTTAGGAAAGGTAGTCAACTGCTTTATACCACCCAGTGTTGATGTGAACATGTGGTCATGGTGGCTCAACAGTAGCTCATGAATTCTTCACTTGCAACAGTCATTACTTAAAAGTAAAAAAAGAAATGTGTTTAACACTAGCTATTATTGAAGCAGACAAGGTAACGTGACTGAATAACGATACTGAGGGGTGAATTAAGACTTTCCCCGAGGCTTAAAGTGTCCCTAACATTGGTGTGCTTAGTGTTACAAGCTAAGAGCCTGAAAAAGCACATCTTGGACTTAATTTGACCAGAGCCTGACCCGAGGTGTCCTGAAATGGCTACGATTCATTAGAATGTATTAAGTATGTATAAACATCCGATGCAGTGTTTAGCTATACAGTAAATATGTAAACTAGAATTACTGCCTTGTGGTTGTATGCCTCTATGAACCAGTCAAGTTGCAGTTACAGTTTCATTTGGAGTCATGACAGCTGACAATGCGTCAAATGTTGCTGCATGGAAGCTGCATATTCTAAAACATTGGTGCTTCACTCACATCTTTCACCCGGCAGCACACAAGATTTATACAATCACCACAGTTTCAAGGTGGGCATCCAAGATCAATATCATCAGTTTAGTATCTGACCAAATGTCTCCACCTTGACCTTATGGATATAAAATTTCATCACTTCATCACCATTTTCTATAAGACATTTGTGTAAAATGTTGTTGTAATTAGTGTATGAATTCTTGAGTTCTTGAATTCTCGACCAAAAGTGTGTTTTGTGAGGTCATAGTGACTTTGTCCTCTGACCTAAAATTCTAATCAGTTCATCCTTGCGTACAAGAGTCAATCAGTGCCAAGTTTGACATAATTCCCTTAAGGCCTTCTTGAGACATTGTGTTCACAAGAATGAGACAGAAAGAAGAAAATTGACATTGACCTTTGACCTTTAACCACCAAAATCTAATTACTTCATCCTTGAGTCTAAGTGAACATTTGAGCCAAATTTGAAGACGTTCCCTCAAGGCATTCTTGAGATATCATGTTGAAGAGAATGAAATGAACGCAAGGTCACAGAGACCTTGACCTTGGACCTTTGACCACCCAAATCTAGTCTGTTCATCACTGAGTCCAAGTGGACATTGTGCCAAATTTGAAGATATTCTCTCAAGGTGTTCTTGAGATATTGTGTTCACGAGAATGCGACAGACAACCCAAAATTATGGTGCCTCCTGCCATGGCTATTATCAACATGATATCCATCATATAACTTTTGTATCAGCGACTAGGAGGTATAGTTTTTTTTTCTTGTTGATTTCTTATCAAATGGCAGTATTACTGTCATTACATCAGTAAGCACTTACCTTCTATGGCTCACATTTACCAGATGAGAGTAACATTCTCAGCATGTGTGTAAGTATAACTGCCCTGTAACTGTTACAGGAGGAGCACTGGCCCCTCTTTCTGTCAGTGATAGTGGTACCAACTTTTATCCAGTTGATGATGTTGCCATGGTTCCCAGAGAGTCCCAGGTACCTGCTGATTGAGAAGCACAACGTCCATGCCACCATCACAGGTTAGTGTTGTGGAAGTGCTGCACATTAGCCATGGGACGCTTTACAGAATAAAGAGAAAAGGCAAAAGGACCAATTACATTAGAGTAATTGTGTGTAACTGTCCCAATAAAAAGAATTATTGTTTTACCACAATGTAGTTATAAAATCATTTTGAGAAATTGTTTTATTGCATCATAACAATTTGGAACTTTGGCTACTTTCACAGAGGTATTACTGCTGGAAGATGTCATCACTATAACAATAATTGTTAATAATTGTCCAAGCTATAAATTCTGTGGCAGAGTAGCAGCATGTACATACAGAACATGATAGGACCAAAAATTAACCATTGTGGCATCCCATCAGTGATGGAAGAAGGACCATGATCATTTACTTAAATAAAATTACCAATACCACAATAAAGAAATACTTGGTCACAAGTTAAAGTCCTGCATTCAAAATCTTACCTCTTAAAAGTACATTATTAGTATCAAAATATACTTAAGTACCAAAAGTAAAGGTAATCATAATGCAGACTAACCCATTTCAGAATAATGTATATTATAATTATGATTATTGATGCATTCATGAATTGAGCACTTTAATGTTGCAGCTGGTAAAAGTGGAGCTAATTTTTTTTTTTTTTTAAAGATATTTTTTATGGGCATTTTTTGCCTTTAATTGATAGGATAGTGAAGTGTGAAAGGGGGAGAGAGAGAGGGAGAGACATGCAGCAAAGGGCCACAGGCTGGAGTTGAACCTGGGCTGCTGCGGCAACAGCCTTGTACATGGGGCGCCTGCTCTACCACTAAGCCACAGATGCCCCAAAGTGGAGTTAATTTTGATTACCATATACACTGCTTGGTAGTTTAATCTGTGATAATAATTAGAATGTGTTAGTTATATTTTGTATTAATATTTTGAATCTGTAAAGTAACTAGTAATAAAGGTTATGACATAAATGTAGTGAAGTAAAAATACAATATTTTCCGCTGAAATACAATGGAGTAGAAGAATAAATAAGTATACTGTAAAATGGAAATACTCAGGTAAAGGACAAATACCTCAAAATGTCCTAGTAAAGTACTTCAGTAAATATACTTAGTTACATTTCATCATGTCAACACACATTAGAGGTCCTAATGACTGTCAGACAGACTGACTGACATCACCATGGGCAGGGCAATATTCTGTACCCACATTTCTGTTATGTGGTTAGTCCATTATCTTGTCTGTCTTTCCAGGTAAAATATGTAAGCTGGTGTCACTATAATGACTTATTTTTCAGGTGTGTCTTTCCTTGATGCGTGCTGTGACAATGCTGCTTGTTGTCCCCTGTCTCCCAGCCCTGAAGTGGTACAGAGCCAAGTGTAACATCCAGGCTGAGATTGAAGAGATGCAAGAGGAGCAGCGCTCCCTGTCCTCAATGGAGACACTGTCAGTATGGAAACTGTTGCTGGATGGTACAGTCCGCTGGCAAGTGCTGAGCGTAGTCGTCATCAACATCGGCATGCAACTGTCTGGCATCGATGCTGTAAGGATTTTTTGAAAGCTGAATAATATATACATAGAAGAAGAAGGGGTCAGCATGCTGCACTGTCTGCCACAATGTGTTCTTCGATGCTACTAAAAACTCTTTATCCAAATTTTCAACACAGTTAAAAGTGCTCCCCCAAAAGCAAATTTTCTCAAACTCTATAGATTTCCAAGTGCACACCAGTATGAACATGTTTGCCCAATAATAATAATTAGTTTATTTGTATAGCACCTTTCAAAACATAGTTATATGTTTATAAGAAGATTTCAAGTCATTCTAAGCAAAAAGCTAAAGTCCAAGTTAATTCACGAGTCATTGGTGTCAAATTGGAAGTCTTTCTTGATTTTGTCATGCCATGTTAAGATTTATCACTTGTGTCCGACGCGGCTTTAAGTAACAGAGTAACGTGACTGAATCTGCACTGACCAGTGTTGAGCTTGTTACTCTAAAAATGTAAAGTTTTACTCACTACTGGTTATCCCTGCCAACAGTAATTCGCTACACTACTCGTTATATTACTTTTATGTTACACTCCATAAAATTCGTTGTTGTCTCCCCAAAATTCAGATGTGTGTTGTGTGTGGATGTCACAGTAATAGCCTGTGAGTGTAGCTAAGGCTAGATTCTGTGCAAATTATTATTATTATTATTTTATTTTATTTTTTTACCTGGGTTCTTCAGTTGCCTTTGACCGGTATTTTCCCAAGGATCTGCCTGAAAGACGGAAAGTCACTCATGGAGCAACATTTCATCCACCAAATATCGAGCCACAAGCTTCATGACTTCTTTAACCTGCAGCTCTCCATGAGTAAAATCCAGTTTTGGTTGTTTAGCCATTATAGCGATACAGCAGACATCCGCAGCCGAGTAGGGCTCACCTTTGGTGGGGTGTATTTCCTGGAGATTCACACTGTTGTGCTGTTGGTAATAGTAGGTATTTCAGATAGGAGGTTTTTACTACTTGTTTTTTGCAGTGGAAAGAGTTTGAGTTCTACTGCTTGCATCAACAGTGTTTTTGTCATCTTTCCTCCTGACAGTCAGGTCAAGTCAAAGTAATGGGAATATTTTCAGCCACTAAGATAAGTGTTTCCACCTTTCAAACTAGCTTGCGGCTTTGTGACATGTTTGCGCAGTGTGATGATGAGTGTGTTGATGTGATGTTGTATTTAAAGTCAGTTGTGAGTGAGGTGATAACAAAAGTACTGTTGTGACAAGTTGTTTGGTTTTGGGTAACTGTAATATTATTACTGAAATTAAATTAGTAATTAGTTACACTACTCATTACTGGAAAAAGTAATATTACTAGTGTATCACTGACACTGACCACAACTCTGTCAAAACAGCTATTAATGTTACATGTGACCTGTAATCAATACCAGTTGTACCCAAGTCAAACATAGCCAGACTTATCTCCACACCAAGGTGAAGGTCTGGAATCACTGATTATCTTTCTCCTATAGGGGAAAAATCCTCTGGCTTGTTTATGTTTCTTTAAACCAATCACTTTCCACTTGGGTGGCACCAAGCTGAGGATGCAGCGACTTTGCCCTTGCAAAATAGTGTTAGGGGTGAACTTGTTTTGGTGGAATATTTGCATGCTGGAAGGCAAGCACTGTCATTAAAATTGCTCAGTGTAAGATAATGCCAAGGAAACATTAACAGTCATATGCCAACTGTGTCATTCAACTTTTAGTGATAAAAAAGACAAACATAATTTGATAATTGGTGCCCTAGAGGTGAGGCCTGACTATACTTAAGCTCTGGAGTCACTGTACCTGTTAAAACTACAGACGATTTGCTGGCTGTAGCTGGCTCTAGCAGAACATTATTATGATGATATCATAGAAGCTCATGTGAAGTGGAACAGACCAGTACATTTGTGAAGTCAGTGTCAGTGTTGCATGCTGCTGCCAGGGCAAAAGATGTGGCAAATCAGCTCCAACTGGCCTTGTCACAAAACAGATCAATATGCTGTGAGATAAAGTCTGGACTTTTCCAAGGTGCACTCACAAGTTGTTTTATTCGTTGTAGATCTTTACAACAATGTACAGAAAGAACAAAGCAGGCATGCCTCACTGCACGATCCAAATGTTTATCAAAATTTGCCATTTTTAGTGTGTTAGTTGTTAGCTCGGGGGTTGTTGTTGTTTCTTGTACCAAAGGGGATTTGGTAAGACGCAGATAGCGGAAAGAAGGGAGAATGCCATCCAAAATCAACAAACCAATGGCAGGTTTATAGCCACAGTCTATATTCGGTTAGTCAAGCCGGTATTTCCCCAAAAAGGGGCACAACATTGGTGTTGTCTTGAGGGCATTCCAAGGTTTAGCAGGTGTTTGCTTTAAAACAGTATCAACAAACATATTCTATCTCTATATCCCCTCTTTGTGCTTGCTTACCATCAGCTGTTGGTTGCCAAATGGTGTCTGCTAAATGGAGTCTCTAGGCTACAGTGATGAGCAGCACAAACTCCTGATGAAACAGCATGAGATGCTTTTAGTCTCTTTTCCCTTCCACTCTGTCTCTCTCACATTCCAGTCGTTCTCTATTTGCTTTTTCATTGCCTTTGTCCGCCTCGACCACTCCCCCTGGTTCTACAGCTCCCTCGTCTGATTGATCCAGCTTATTAGACAAAGACACTGAGATGAAAGTAGGCCTAAATGATCCCTCATCGTTTTATAAGCCTTGCGTGGTCTCGTGAATAAAGCTAAAAAGCTGGTGTCATCATTTTTCTGTCAATGCGATTAGCCAAATTCCCCTCCTGAATTTTGCCCCAGAGATACATTAATTATTCAAATGATTACGGGGGCGCCCGGGCCAGAAAGAGCTCACTGTAAGCACTGGAGCTGAACTCATTAGCACGCCCTTCTCCAAGCTGTATTTTTAAATGCTAATTAGCTCTGCCTAAACAAAGTGAAGCAGTGCTGAAACATGCATATACTGAGAGCAGCACTCAGAATGAGGAGGATGGTCATACGGGTGGTGGTAATGATGATGTAATACTAGAAGAGAAGGATAATATATGACCATATAATGCAGTTGATTTAAAGTAAAATTAATCAATCAGTATTTATCAATGACAGTGATCATGACCATGGTGGTGAAGATGATGATGATGATGATGATCATCATCATCATCATGATCATGGTCATGATGATTGTGCTGATCATGGTGATGATGATGATGGTGGTGATCGTGGTGATGATGATGATCATGGTGATGAAGATGATGATGAGGACGATAATGATTGTGGTGATCCTGGTGATGATGATGATGTTGATGATCATGGTGATGATCGTGATCATGGTAATGAAGATGATGATGAGATAATAATGAGGATGAATATGGTGATGATGGTGATTATGATCCTGGTGATTATGGTGATGATCATGTCATGGTGATAATCAAGATTATGATGAAAATGATGATAATGACTGTGATGATGATAGTAGGCGTGACCATTAATTGTAGTTATTGACTGCATTTCTGCAGTAACTTAACTTATTGCTGTGTTAACTCAACTGACGTTAGAGTTAGCACTTGTTGCTTTAGGAGTCGCGATTACTCTTGTGCAAGCTGCAGCCTGCATTTTACATCATCAACTACAACGCAGTCCGTGATTGGCTGTTGCCAGCCACAGTTTTTATTAGCCCAGATTGGATTTTAATTTCTGGACCGTTTTTGGGGCAGCACTGAGTCCAGACTGATACAGAGAGCAAAACAGGATGTTGAGCTCAGATGGTCTCACCAGGCTAGCAGAATATAGGACAGGTAGATGTTTTCTTCAAACATCGTGACTTTATTCTCACTAAATTACAATTTAACTTTATTCATGACTTCTCAGATAACACATATATGTGGGACATTGTTAATGTGCAGACAGTTCTGAACATGAGCAGGGATATAACTTGATCTACAGGGGAATGATTATTTGAAAGCAATACAGAATCCTTGAGAGCCTTAATGCATTACATTCTTTTATATTTTGAATTGTCACATGCTGCCTGAATTTTGTGTTTTACTTTACATATATAAAGGCATTTCCACCAAGATTGTACAAAACTTCATCAGAATGCAGGAAATTAGGTGTTTGATGCTCATAATGTCCTGGGGAGGGATCCACAGAAACCCTATTTAATGTGTGTCCCCACCAATGTTAAAATCACACCTGTTCCCTTGTTATTAGTGATCATAATAATTACTATAATTAAATGATGATGACGATGATGATGACAGAATAAAGGTGGGAATGAAAGCGATTGTGGTGATCATGGTTAAGATAAGGATAAGGATGAAGATGGCAGTGACTGAGTTGATGGTGATTGTATTTGCTGATGATGCTGACAAACAGGATCACAATGGCGATGATTATGATGAGGATGATAATAATGGAAATGTGATGACGATGATAACAGTGATGATGAAAAACAATATTTGTGATTATGTTGCTGTTGATGATGATGATGGTGATGATAGTAATTGCAACTGTGATGTGGCAGATGCTTGAGGTGATCTTTAGTCCTAAGTGCATGTGACAGTTGGCGAGCCTTGGCACAGTTCCTGACAAACCATTGTGTGTGTGTGTGTGTGTGTGTGCTTATCTACCTGCTCCACTAACCATCACCGTCTGCTGTCTCCAGTTAATACACCTCCTGTCCTGTCCTGCTCCCCCTGAAGCTTCACATTGAGTTGAATTGAATGTGAGCAAATGTCTCTCTCTCTGTGGCGATGCTATGCCACCTGTCTTGCCCTGAAGTACTAAATGTCTGCCTCCTCATTAACATTTTTACACCACTGTTTTTTCCTCTTGGAGCATATGTCACATTATGGGGAGGAATGTTTTACCTTTGCTTCTCAGCCAAACTGCTCACTGATGACTTGTAACTAGCTAGCTACTCAGGGTAACTTTTGCCGTGTAGCATGCAGTGTATCTCAATTCCACACACATTACCCTTGATAGTGCGCTGGCAAGCAGCGATAGTCATCACTTGACACTGC